AAAGGCGATAAAATAAGCTATGACTTGAAAGTGTTAAAATAGCCACAGTAAAACTTAGCTTCTTTAAATTGTTTCTGTTAGGTATTTGCATGGTAAAAAAACGTCTAAGACAGTATCCTTTACTTGATGATACTATTCTTTCCATGCTGATTCTCATAGTTTTTCACAGCTTGGAGTCTTTTGAAGCTATAAGGTAAAGGATTTTGCTTCTTTGGCCAACCATTTGTTCAACCCCAAATAGTCATCACTGGGTTCTGTTATGAGATACCTTCACATTTTTCAGCTTCAGTTCTTCAGTGGCTAAAGGAAATCCAAATTGTATTTCCCCTTTTATGTGGTTTGACTTAGGATCTTTTTCACTTTCACTAGACTATTCTGCTTTCTCAAAAAAAAAAGTTGGGCTGGGAAGGTGGCTCAGTGGTAGAGTGCTTGCCTTGCATGTATGAGGCCCTAGGTTCGATTCCTCAGCACCACATAAGAAGAAAAATCTGGAAGTGGTGCTGTGGCTCAAGTGGTAGAGTGCTAGCCTTAAGCTGAAGAGCTGAGGGACAGTGCCCAGGCCCAGAGTTCAGGCCCCACAACTGACCTTCCTCCCCACCCCCCGCAAAAAAAAGTTTGCAAATTAGATTTGTGACCCTTAAATGCACCAGACTTCTGAAAGGAATGATGCTGTCTTTATTAACTTATTTATTTATTTATTGTGGGTCATGAGGCTTGAACTCTGGGCCTGGGTGCTATCCCTGAGCTCTTTAGCTCAAGGCAAAGCATTACACAGAGCCACTTCTGGTTTTCAGGTGGTTTATTGGAGATAAGAGTCTCACAGACTTTACTGCTAGAGCTGGCTTTGAACTGCTAGGCTTATAGGCAGTGATTTTTTTCTTTAAATGGTTAATTTTAGTTGACTTTAAAGAGAAAGGAAAATATAAACCCTGTCATCTTTACATATGCATCATGCATATTTTACTTTTCCCCCTTGATCCAGAAATAATCAACTTGTATTAACTGCTAGTAATTATAGTTACTGCTTTTCATTTCCAGGTACTCTACCAAAATATTTGCAGATGAGAAATTATATCCTTAGAATTTCTATACAATAATCAGAGATGACTGGTTGAAATAGGATACAATGCATTGATACCTGTTCATGGGTACTATTGCAGTAGTCCTTCTAATTTGGCATATAGGTTTGAAATTTACATAATACAATTATTTGTGATTTCCCATGTTTAATGACAAAAAGTTCTTTGAATTTTCTGTGATTAGAGAATGTACCTTAGATAAGGTACAACAAATACTATATAATATTAAGTAATAACATATTGTACATAAATATCATTTATATAAATTTATATAATTATATAATAAAATGTATTATGAATTTGTGTATAAATTGATTATGACTACTTTTATAATTTCTTTGGAGATTTGAACAGAAAATCTATCATATTGATGGTGATGCCAAGTCTTTTGCAACTTAATCTAGTTTTAATATTTTAGATATTGTAAGAGGTATGTTACATTATTCCACATTCATTATAACAGTGCATATGTTTGATGCTAGTTTGAATGAATCCATTGTATTGTTCATATGTAAACTTGTTCATTTACTGTTCTAGAGATCAAACTCAAGGCCTTGGGTATATTCAACAAATGCTCTCTACCATTAAGCTACAACCTTGTTACTCATAATTAAGCTTTTAATTATGTGTCATTGAATTCTCTATTATTCATTACCTTTTTATATTTCTGCTTTCCTATAAGTCTTAAAATATGCTCTAGAGCTAGTCACTAATGGTTCATGCTTGTAATCCTAGCTGCTTGGGATGCTGAGATTTTAGGATTACAATCAGAGCCAGCCCAGGCCAAAAAGTCTATGAAACTTTATCTCCAATCAGCATCCAAAAGCCAGGAGTGGAAGTGTGGCTTAAGTGATAGAGTGTAGGTCTTGAATGAAAAGGCTAAAGGGAAATGCACAGGCCCTGAATTCAACCTCAGAACAGTCAAAACAAACAACAACAACAAAAAGTATGGCATAGAGCATGTCAGATTGAAGAAAAAGATGTAACCCCTTGCCTCTAAATCTCTTCCTGATGTTGAACCAGGGATCCTAGTTGTCTGTTTGTCTGGTAAGACTTTTATTTTCATATATCGCTTCTAATTTAACAGACTTACATATGTCATATACTAAGCAGATTACTATAGGAGCTCAATAAATACTTACTTGACTAATACTTTAACTGTTCAGAATGATGCCATTGTCTTTGAAGGTTTTGTAGTTTAATGAATGAACACAGTAATCTGTTGGCATATTAACTCAATGTATGGCAGAGAATTAAATCAGAAGACTCAAACTTGTTTTTTTGTTTTTTGTCTTTTTGGTCGTAGGGCTTGAACTCTGGGCTTGGGCACTGTTCCTCAGCTCTTCAGCTCAAAGCGAGCACTCTACCACTTGAGCCACAGCGACACTTCTGGTTTTCTGGTGGTTTATTGATAAGAGTCTCAAGGACTTAACTGCCTGGGCTGGCTTTGAACCGTGATCCACAGAGCTCAGCCTCCTAAGTAGCTAGGATTATAGGCGTGAGCCATCAGCGCCTGGCTAAGACTGAAACTTTTAAGTAACTTTGTATTTTAGCTATGTTTTTTGTCTTTTAATACATTGAGCTTTGAGAAATATAACTAAGAAACAAAAAGACTGACCTTATTTTAATAGGGACAAGAAATACAGAATTCAGTGATTTTCTTGATGCATCTCAGGTGAAAATATTTAATAATGGCAATAATCACAACTGGCACTTAGGCCAGTTTGTTTTAGGAAAGGAAATTTCCAAAAATTGTGAAAGTTCCCTAAATCACAAATTTCTGTGGATTGTAATTGTGCAAAGTGTCTGTTTGGGGAAACAGTATCTGGATATCACCAAGATTGGAAGTTGTGTCATTTTTAAATCATAGATACGTCAATCATACAGGTTTTTAATGTGGAATAATAGATATTGTTTGGTTTAAGTATATAGTACTTATGCTGTTTGTCAGTTCACTTCATATTGCTTATGTGACATTTCAGATGTTTTGGGAGGAGAGAAAATTCATATTTATAGTCCCTTTTTGCTAGTAATACTGTTTTCTTTCTCAACTGTAATGAAAAATATAGAAATGTTCAATCTACTGGGCACAACTGAGCAAGAAGTTTACAGATAACCTTGTTGAAAGATTAGTTGTAAGTTTTGTTTTTTTTTAATTTAAGCAGTCTTAGTGTTTTGAACTCAGTTTTATACTTACTAGTCAGGAACTCTATTGCTGAGCCATGCCTCAAGTACTGCTTTTTGCCAATTTTTTTTGAGATAGTATCTTGCTTCCTGTCCAGGGATGTGCCTATACTGTGATTTTCAGTCCTACATGGGGTGACAAGTAACACACAACCATGCCCAGCCCCTTCCTATTGAGGTTGAGTCTTGAACACTTGTCTGCCTGGTCTGGCCTAGAACTACAATCTTTCTGATCTCAGACTCTCATATAACTTAAGATGATAGGTACAGCTATCTTGTTATTGGTTGAGAAAGGGTCTTGTGAACTTTCTTCCTCGGCTGGCCTTAAACTGCGATTCTCCCATTTTCAGCCTTCCAAGTAGCTAGGATTATAGGTGCGAACCACTGGGACCCAGCTTGATTTTAAAATTTCCAAACCTTGGGGCTGGGAAGGTGGCTCAGTGGTAGAGTGCTTGCCTTGCATGCATGAGGCCCTGGGTTTGATTCCTCAGCACCACATAAGAAGAAAAATCTGGAAGTGGTGCTGTGGCTCAAGTGATAGAGCACTGTCCTTGAGCTGAAAAGCTGAGAGATAGTGCCCAGGCCCAGAGTTCAGGCCCCATGACCAAAAATAAATAAATAAATAAATCCAAACCTTTACTTTTCCTTGATCTAGTTGGCTAGCAGTTATTTCATGAAGATTATCTTTAGTTTGTTTTTAACCATGCATCTACATCAGTTGTAAAATATTAGACTGCCTAGAAACTCTCAGTTGTCTAAGTGATTTGCTGTGACAAATACTATATTTCATTTGCATAAAAGATGGTGAGTGACATTAGGATATGAATTTGATATTTTAATTCCAATTAATACTAAGATCGATCATATTCAGTAATGGTGATATACAGTAAGAGATACTTAAACATAAGTTTTTAAAGGAATTTGGCAACATTAATACTATTTCTAGTGCCTCTGAAGAAAATACTCAGTTAAATGTGTAGATGTGACATGATTCGTGATAGGAAAAAAAAATTGACTGGGAATGTGCCTCAGTGGTAGAGTGCTCACCTAGCATGCATGAAACCCTAGGTTATATTCCACAGTACCATATCATATACACAGAAAAAGCCAGAAGTGGTGCTGCAGCTCAAGTGGTAGAGAGGTAGCCTTGAGCAAAAGAAACTCAGAGACAGTGCCCAGGACCTGAGTTCAAGTCCCAGGCCTGGAGGGAAAACAAAACAAAACAAATTAGCCGAAATGGATGTCAGTAAAGAGTTAATTAAACTAATATGTCAATACGATCAAATTCTGTATAGCTATTAAAAAAGCATGAAGTAGCAAAGCATTTACCTGACATGTTTATGTCTCTAAAATATATTATTAAATAAAAATACCAGCCAAAAGGCATGCTGAAATAATGTGAATGAACTGATTAAGAGAAAAGAGGGATCAGTCTTCCAATGTTGACTTAGATTTTAAAGTGACAAAAGCAAGTAGCAATAAACAAATTGTGCTACTGTTCATCTACAAGGAGTTATATATCTCGATCTTCTGAAAAGATAAAATGTTTTTAGAGTCATTGCATTGATTTTTATTCGCAATATTGCTGATAAAGTGAAGTTACTGATCCACTATCAAATTTCTGATATTTTATAATGATTAGATGTGAGGCATCTAGTAAAGGAAAATCTGGTAGGACTTTAAAAATAAGTCATATACCTGTTTGTAAATCTTTGTTGTGCTGTTTTTCTATTTCAGTTATCTAGAAAAGTACGAGAAAGTTCATCATTTTGGGGAAGATGATGATGAGGTACCACCCGGCAACCCAAAGCCACAGCTTCCTATTGGTGCAATTCCATCTTCCTACAATTACCAGCAACACAGTGTGTCAGGTAATGATCACTGGAGAGTCTTTGGACATAAGAGAATACTTAGGGAATTGGACTAATGCATCTAGCAAACATTGGCATCTAGGTGTTATCTGACTCCCTCTAATCACAGATCGTTTTGAATTTTAGTTGAAGAAATTTTCAGAATTGCAAATACCCATACTTCTACAGTTTCTTCCATGTAGAAATGTTTTTTCTTATTTTTGATCATCAGTCTATTAAAGTTGTTTAAGATTAGGAAGCCAGGGTCAGACACAATGGCTCTCACCTAGAATCTCAGCTACTTGTGAGGATTGAGGTTAAATTTAAGGCTAGTCCTGGCAAAAGTTAGTGAGAACTTTATCCAACGACAACAAGAAGAAGTGCTGGGTACACTTGCACTCACCTCTGAGGGAGACTTAAGTATAACGATCACAGTCCAGGCTGGTTCTGGCACAAAATGACAGACAGTACCTGAAAAACACTAACAGCCAAAAGATGTAAGAGTGTGGCTCAAGTGGTAGAGTGTAAGCTCAAGGTGCTGAGATCAAACCCCTGTACCATGAAAAAAGAAAAAATAAGGAAGGGCAACTGCATAGTGAGTTCAAGGCCAGCCTCAAAACATGGGAGACTAATAGGAAGAGGTGAGGGAAGGAGGAAGAGAGGGAGGGAGGGAGGGGAAATAGAAGGGACATGAGCAAGAAGGAAGGGAGGACCAGAGAGACCAAGAAGTTTCTAAGAGTTTACTACTAAGATGGCTAACCCTAGAATACTCAGAAATGTTCATAATTTTACAACTATCCTACTAAGATACCAGGAAAAGAGTTTTATGAAGTCACAGTTCTTACCAGTTAAAGAAGAATCTGAATTAAAAAAAATCAAGAGTCAGGAGCCAGTGGCTCACGCCTGTAATCCTAGCTAATCAGGAGGCTGAGATCTGAGGATTGAGGTTCAAAGCCAGCCAAGCAGGAAAGTCTGTGAGACTCTTATTTCCAATTAACCACAGGAAAACTGGAAGTGGCAATGTAGCTTAAGTGGTAGAGCACTTGCCTTGAGCTGAAGAGCTCAAGGGCATTGCCCAGGCCCAGAGTTAAAGCCCCACGACTGACCAAAAATAAATAAATAAATAAAATTGAAAACTGAACTTGAATCACATAGTCAACCTGAAATAGAGATTTATGTAGAAGTGATGAAGATTTGTTATAATGGCTCTGTGGTTGATGGAATCACCTGGAAGAGTGATGTAGGAAGGTAAGGTATCTGTGTCATTCATTAGTTGACATTTGGCCTTAAAAAAGAAGGGAATTCTTTTTTAAGGTTATGTCCTTTATAAAAATTGCATTTAGTCCATATATTTGTTACTCTTATTCATCCATACCAGTACTGATCCTTAGGATTAACTTGTCTTATTTGTGTCACTCTCACCAGTTCTTTTTATTTTCACATTGTCTATTTCAGAGTTTCTTTTATGTTGAATTTGACGTCATATTTCTTCTCCAGTTAATGACTAAAGAAATAGAATCTTGCTGGGAGCTGGTGGTTCTCACCTGTAATCCTAGCTACTCAGGAGGCTGAGATCTGAGGATCATGGTTCAAAGCCAGCCTGGGCAGGAAAGTCCGTGAAATTCTTATCTCCAATAAACCACTAGAAAACTGGAAGTGATGCTGTGGCTCAAGTGGTAGAGTGCTTGCCTTGAGCTGAAGAGTGCAGGGACAGCGCCCAGGCCCATGTTCATGCCCCATGACCAACAAAAAAAAAAAGAAAAGAAAAAAGAAATAGAATCTTCTCTTAAAATCTGGGATCTCCATTTGAAGCAGCTTTACCTGATGCTGTTTTAAATAATTGGATTAGGAGAAGCAGGGAGTGCCAACTAAACCTAAGTTTTGCTTTTATTGATAGTTATTACTACAAGTCTTAAAGCATTTTAAAGTCATCATGTAGAGTACCTGGCTAGTGGTTTTATCAGGTAAAATCAAATGAAGCAACTTGTTAGGTGATAAGTTCTCTTTTCCTAGAGAGAGAATGGCATTACCTAATTCAGGGATGTTATAGAAGATATTTTACATTGAGTGAGACATTCTACTAATGACCTTGAAAACTTTTCTACTTGATAGGAATCAACTTGATGTAATTCCTCTAGTATAATAAACAAAATTTGGTATCTGCTACTATATCTCCCAAAAATCCTTTTGCACTACTTGGTCTTTAAGTTAAAAAAAAAGCATTCAAGATGTGTTCGCTCTCTTTTCCTGGTTACAACCAATTTTCCTAAAGAAAGTGTGAAGTATGGTTGTTATTTCAGAAGAATATGACATAACTTTCATATAACTATACAAGTTAATAAAATGATAGACATGCTTAGCATATTGCATTAGCTCTTTTTGTTTGTTGTTTTGCTTTGTTGTATTTTGTTTTGGTAGTACATGGAACCAAACTCAGAGTCTGGCACTAGCTAGCATTTAAACCACAGCTCCAGAGTTTTTTTGCATTGGTTATTTTGAAGGTAGGGTCTTGATTTATCCTTGGCTGGCCTGAGCTGTGATCCTATTCATGTATCCCAGTGTCACTGGGAAGATAAGTGTGCACTACTTCATCCATTGTACTTCATCAGTAGCTGGGATAACAGGCACATGCCACCCTGCCTAGCCATGGTTGAGATAGATTCTCAAGAACTATGTTTTTGTCCAGGCCAGCTTCCATCATAACTGCTCAAGTAGCTAGGATTATAGGCTTGAGCCACTGATCCTGACACAACTCTTTTTAGCTAAGCTATGAGAAGTCTTATTTGTTTTAAGGAAACTCTGAACAGTTAGGCAGTATGTACATGTTTGACAAAGTCAAGATTAGGGATTTACAAAGAGAAAAAACTGATAATTGCTGGGAAACATCTAGAATATAAAACCTGAAAAGAGATAATAGTTCTGAATAATACAAGCATTTACAAATTTACACGTGTTTTTTTTTTTGCAAAGAAACCTGTCACATTGTTGTACAAATTAATGTAATGTTTAATATATAAAACAAATCTTGCATTGATGATATTTTTCAAGTGTCATTAAGGAAAAAGATTAAACTTCATAGATTTCCTTGTATATCTGTACTGTCTGTGTTCTAAATAAATGTTAAAATGGAATTATCTAGTGGTAAATTGAGTGTATAAAGTTTTTTTTTTTTAATTTCAGGGGTGTGGCCTAGTGATAGCACACTTGCCATGCCCTTAGTTCACATGCATGAGACTATGGATTCAGTTCTTAACATCACAATAAAATGACAGAATTGAGTGGTTTACTTGTGTAATCTCAGATGTAATCTTAGCACTGGGGATGCAGACAGTCAGAGCAAAAGTTCAAGGCCAGCTTGGGCTATTTAGTAAGATTCTGACTCAGAAACAAACAATTGATTTGTGCCTGCATTTTTATTATATAGTATCCCGTTTTGATTTGAATAAATATTTGAGTAAATATTTATCTAGTTATATTTGTTGTTAATAAGATATTCCAAGACATTCTTAAAATTTTTTGAAAGGTAGTAATCTGCAATTCTATTATCATTCTCATAATAGAATATCATAAAATTAAATATATGTGAATTTGAATTTTACTGGGGATATTAACCATGTCTGTGTGTGTGTGTGTGTGTGTGTGTGTGTGTGTGTGTGTGTGTGTGTGCGCGTGCGCGCGCGCGCGCGTGCGCGTGCGGGTGCATGCACATGCTCTGGGGCTTGAACACTAAGGGCCTCTTGCTTAGCTTATTTGGTTCACGGCTAGTGTTCTACCTCTTAAACCATGCCTCTAATTCCAGCGTTTTGATAATTCATTGGAGATGATAATCTCCAGGACTCTTATCTGGGCTTACTTTGAACTATAACCCTCAGATCCCAACTTCTTTAGGAGTTAGGATTACAGGCATGAGCCACTTATACTCTGCTAGATAAAATGGTAAAAAAAAAAAAAAAAAAAAAAGAAAAAGAGACAGTGAGTAGGACCTTTTGCTTAGAGCTTTGGGATAGTTCAACATTGATATGTATATTTTATGTGCATTCAGGCCAATGGGTCATACTTGTTATTCATACTTATTCAGGAGCCTAAGATCTGGAGGATTCCAATATAAAGCCAGCCTGGGTAGAAAGTTACCAGCTTACATCTCCAATTAACTACTAAAAAGCTGAGCTGGAAATGCAGCTCAAATAGTAGAGCCTCAGCCATGACCACACAAACTCAGCAATCATGAGGTCCTGAGTTCAAACCCTGATATCAGCAAAAAACGAAGAAACAAATAAATGTGTGTGTGTGTATGTGTGTGAATGACTATGTGTGTGTTATAGGTGTGTATGTATATATATTATTTACAATGTCCTTTTGAAAACTGAGATAGTCAAAATAGACAAATAGATACTTGTCATTGAAATTAATAGAATTATGAAGTTTGGGAACTAATCATGCTTGTGATTCTTAATCCTAACCCTATCATATTCAAAATATTCAAAAGCCTAACAGACATTTGGACTATAGTGGGCATTGCCAATATCCGTAAAAGCACCATTGCAGAAATCCTCCTATAAATAGCATTCCAGGAGCAGTTCTCCCTTCCTTTAAACTGAAAACAAAGAATCAAATGTTGTACAACAAACTTGTCAGTAGTGATCTGTTTATGTAAACTTCAAATCATGAATGTTGACAATAACTTTCTAATTCCCATTCTGATAGAAAATTACAATTAGATTCTGTCTCCTTAGAGAAAGAAGAACTTAATTAATGCATTTATTTTTAAGACATAGTATTGATATATTGCCTAGCCTAATTTTGAACGCCTGGCTAAAGTGATTTTCTTGTCGCACCCTCCTGAACAGCTGTATGATAGGTGCACATTACTGTGTCTGGCTTGGTCTTAAAAGCCTGTGAAGATTTTCCTGTACATTGTCTTAAGAATCTTTAACAAAATTAAATAACTCTAGGTTATTTTACATTCCTGTGTGTGTTTATAAACAAAGTCCTTTGGTAGGAATATATCTATCATCCCTTATCCTGGAATAGCTGATAGAATGGTTCTGTGATTGTATTGAAGCTTGATTGAAAATTGATTCCAAATTTATTTTTATTTGAGACCTCAAAGCTACGTTAATCTAAAATAAAATTACTGTTAACATTTTTTTTATCATGGCTTACTGTTCATAGGATAAAAACATCAAAACCTACTTCTGTGTTCTTAAATGTCTGTTAACTTTTTCTTCACATATTAATTTATGAATAATTTAATTGGTCAAGTTAATAAAAACAAGCAATTTATTCTTACTGTCCATTCTTAACAATTGTGAAGAATTCATGTCATAGCAATTTGTAATGACTTCGTAACATTTTTCACCTTTATGTTATTGGAGACATTTCTAGAATATTTTAGAACTGAAGGAGGTGTCTCTTCAAATGTCATTATTAAACAAGGGGTATACACTTGACACTGAAGCGGAATTTCAAGCTTCAGGTTTACCTGGGCTACGTAGTGAAATGCACAAATCTAAACACAAAATGTGTGTGTTGGGAAATGAAATTATTTTCCTCTATTATGTGTTGTAGCAATCCATTTTTGTATTTTATATTTCATTTAAAGAGGTTTGGGCTTGTTCTGTTTTTCAGGGTTCTTGTTTTAGCTTTTTAAAAATCTCTGGAATGTTGTATCTAGAAGTTTTCTAAGTCATGATTTCTTGCCTCTTAACTATTTACAGCTTTATTTGAAAAATATACTTAGGGTACATACTGCTCCAGTTAAGCTTTCAGATTCTAGAAATAGCATTTTTACATGTATACATTAGAGTTTTATCTTAGTGGTTTATAAGCACATCATTATCTACCTTTCAAGCTTAAAAAAAATCAGTTCTACAGAAAATATTATTTTGTTTTAGAACTGACATTTTTAGGACAAAAAAATGTCAATCATAAAAGCTTACAAATCAGATTAACATATTTCTTTCTTTCTTTCTTTTTTTTTTTTTTTGTTGGTCATGGGGCCTGAACTCTGAGCCTGGGCACTGTCCCTCAGCTTTTCAGCTCAAGGCTAGGGCTCTACCATTTGAGCCACAGTGCCACTTCCGGCTTTTTCTGCTTATGGAGTGCTGAGGAATCAAACCCAGGGCCTCATGCATTGGAGCCACCATCCCAGCCCAAGATTAACATATTTCTTAAAAGAATAAGTTGCTGACTGAGAAAATGTTTGTAAAATTAATAGGTAAATGATTTATATTAAAAAACAAGATATTGGGCTGGGAAGTTGGCTCAGTGGTAGAGCGCTTGCCTTGCATGCCTGAGGCCCTGGGTTCGATTCCTCAGCACCACATAAGCAAAAAGAAAAAA